AAAGTGTGGCAAAAGAGCATCCCAGCGGGGATTCGAACCCCGGACCTTTGGATTAGAAGTCCAACGCGCTATCCACTGCGCTACAGGGACTACATATACAATATAAGGCTTAATATATGGTTTTCAATGCAATGCACGTAAACGTAGTTTTTTAACTCATATTAAACTCAATACAAAGCGATAGATGTCTCGCAATGTGTGCCAAAAGCCTATGTTTTCATACATTGAGAGCACGTGTTCTGCACTTGTCTTCGCTGTAAATCACATCACATGTAGTGATCGCTTGATTATTGAGGTTTTATTTACAATTAAAGACAATTTAGTGTACAATTAGTGCCAAAAATGGTCCGTAAGCTAAAACATGTGGAGAGAAAACTGCTCCGGAAAGTGGATTTCATCGATTGGCCCACAAATAATGTCAAAGAGTTGGCGATTATGAAGAGATTTGGTATCGAAAGACACGACTATACCATGTATTGCATCCATTGATTGTTATTATTTACTTGTTTTTTAATTTATTTGTTTTTTACACTCAAAACCAGATATAATAAGATGTGTCACAAGATATGGAAATTGTCTGAAACGGTGGCCGCACTGCCCGTCAACGACGGCTTCCGCAACGAGTCCTCCCAACAGCTGATGGAGAAGTTGTATTCAATCGGTTTAATCAAAACAAAACGCCTCAAGAAATGCAATTCAGTTAATGTGAAGGCGTTTTGTCGCCGAAGACTTCCCGTATATATGATTCAGTCGGGAATGTTTTCCGGACCCCTCTCTATGGCCGGTACGGTTTAATCAAAACAAAACGCCTCAAGAAATGCAATTCAGTTAATGTGAAGGCGTTTTGTCGCCGAAGACTTCCCGTATATATGATTCAGTCGGGAATGTTTTCCGGACCCCTCTCTATGGCCGGTTAGTGTCCACACCATTACTTCCCAACATTTTCTAACATATGATTATTTGTTACCTAAACTGTTGTTTGCTTTAAATAGTGAAATACGTAAAACACGGTCACATTAGGGTCGGACCAAATGTGGTGACAGATCCGGCATTTCTGGTCACCAGAACTCACGAAGACTTCATTTCATGGACCGATAACTTGAGGACAAAAATAGATACTTATAATGACAATAGAGATGACTATAAAGACTAAATCACTTGAAATTGTATTTTTTCAATAAAAAATAATTTATATTTATTTTATAATAAATAACTTTAAATTATATTTTTGTTCATTCATTTGATTCGTTATATAATATGACATAAAATATATAAATAATAAAAAGGCAACGATTGGGTCCTCACATGTGGTCTCTTCTGATCAAAAAGACATTGAATTCGTTAATGAAATATAAATTAAGGCTAACTATCAATAAATAAGATCTTTAAGACATTTGGTCCTAAACTGAAACAATAGTGTCATCTGTTATGCGAACTCTTTTGGCGAATCTTTGTATATGGTTTGCAATCAGTGGTCGATTTACTGCCACTACTTCTTCGGTTGTCTTCGCATCGTTTCGATGAATAACTCTTTGAGTCCTTTTGGCCGCTGTTTCGGT